TCTGACGGGAGTCCCCGGCATATGCTGGTTCTTGCTACTCACATGCACATCAGTCCATACAAGAGACTGGTTCTCGCTGGTTCTCAGCTTAATACGCACTCGGGTGGCCGATTGAATACCCTTCGCTCTGGTGGTGGTCAACGTAACCCCGCTGATATCTCAGGCACTAAAAGAGCTAGAAGCACCAATTTTTATAGTGTGTTGACCTGTACTTTAACTCACTTGTGTCAAAATTTGGGTTCCTAGATTATGACCTCTAAGACAAATAAAGGCAAATATGGTTAAACTTCAGACTGATCTCCAAAGTAGCCCCAGAGCCTAGGTACCTGTTCTAAGTAAAAGGTCAGTGGTGCTCATTCAGGGTCAATTCCTTGTTTGACCTTTCGCTGGTCATGGTGACCAAAATAATAAAATACTGCTCTGAGCTTTGCATCTGAATAAGCCTCAAATATTACGCTGAGAAGCTTATTCCTAAAACGAAATGTTGACCTGGGTCATTCCGGGTCAGAAGCCCATCATGGCCTTTAGGAAGTCCATGGAAGATGTATAATGCGGTTCCTGGTATCGATAAAGTCGCAATAAGCGCTGGAAACTACCACAGACAGCAAGCTCTAGGCTAATGAGGCAGGTTGTTTTGTACTTTTAGTCTATATTTTTGCTGCAAACGATCTGATATTCAATTGTCCACCGCTATACAAAATTTGACGGGACGTTGCCGCGCCAATCGGAAGCCATTTCTGAAAACCTTTGAGGGAGGGTCAAATTGACCCCCACCATCCGAGCGCCTGTTAATCCTGATCTGTTTCATGGTTCTTACTGGATCTCCACGTGTTGTAAGCTTGATCATAGTTCTTGATGCATCTCTTGACATAATGTAAGGCTGGATCTGGATTCTTTCTGGATCTCTCGACCAGATACCAGGCTGCCAAATGTTCTCTCTGTAGGGCCTCCTGTAGCATAATGGTGGTTCCTGAAATTTCAAGAACATATAAAAATGTATTTGCTTCCTTTCCCACCTGGCAACACCAACCCTGTTTTTCTTTCGACTTAAAAGAACCGCTTCAAAGCTATGTGATTGCATAGAATGGCTGAAATTGTCATACTTTTGCAATGCCCAGAGTCGGCCTGGGCCCGAAGCCTACCGTATTCCAGGAGCTCCGCCGTATTGTAGGCTGGGTATGCTGGAGCTCGAGTGAGACTCAAGCCAGAGATGGTGGTTATTACAGAGATGATGGCGGCTGCATCAGGCTGTGGTTACGTCGCCCCATGGCTGCGGCCACGGCCTGTAACAGTGCGGCCGGCAGCTGCGCTGACTCACGTTACCCTCTGGATGTGGATCGTAGAGGCTGGGTCGATATGATGTGGATCGTAGCGGCTTGGTCGATATGATGTGGATCGTAGCGGCTGGGTCGATATGATGGCTGATCAGCGACCGGAATCTCGGAGAAGCGGCAGTGGTATCTAGAGGCTTGGTGTGCTGTCCCGCTCTTTTATATTTGTTATGTTTGCTAGACAAAATATGACGTCATCAGAAGGCGGCTTGGTTCGGGAAAGTTCTTGAAGACGAAGCTCTGCGGAAGGTCCGGGTCTGCCTTGCGTGTCTGTTCACAAAAAACAGCGCATTATTTCTGTATTTTGATGATAAATGACTGTGGAATGACCCCAGAATGGCATGAATGGAGCGGACCAGCTCCGCGCGCTGCAGAGACACTCCCCAGGTCACCACACGTCCCACCGCGCCGAGCCGCGCCACTGTTGGCCGAGCTGCGTCACTGGTGAGAGCCAGGCGCGGGCTGCGTGCGACATCTGGCGACGGACTGGCGCTGGAGCCCTCGCCCTGCGGCCGGTGGCGCGTCCCCACCCCGCCGTCTGACCTCCTGACCTCTGACCTGCCGCCTGCAGTCGTGGTCCGGCGCCCTCAGCTCGACCGACCACGCCTCGGGCAGGATGGGGGTCACCCTGACCCGACTGCACTGCAGGTGGGGTGTCCGGAATGGGCCGAAATACCAAAGCGGGAGCAGCTTGGTGACATTACACCACCAGAAAACAGCAATGTCCCCGGTCCTACAGACTACATGGTCTGGAAGATGGTCCTCAAGGGACTTGGGCATGTCCGTGCGTCTCTCAACTGCAGTTAGAAACAGCAAAGAAAGTGCAGTGCTAGTGGTGACCGGTAAGACGCGTTGTGCGGCGTAGAAAGCGAGTGTGTGATCTTTTCGTCCTCTTTGGCTACGTCCCTGCTTCTATGCTTTATTAACGTAGAATGCTTCTAATGGCCTATTGTTTGCAACTAGTGGCGTGGTCAGAGTCTTGTTAGGGGAGGAGCACAGAGCGTCCTGAAAGGTCCTCATTTCTGTTGAAAACCCTCCACCAAAGAAAAATGCATCGTTGCTGCCCACTTTCTTTGAGGGAGCTCAATTTTCGTTGTCTTTCATCCAGCATACAGTCGTACCGATGGGCGACTTCATTGAGGAGCCCCGTGGATTGCGCACTAACTCTTACGTCTTCAGGACTGGGGGTCTTAGGGGTAGAGCACTGGAGGAGAGTTAACTTTCTTGGTCAGGGCCTTTTCATCCCAGCCTGTGGCGTTTACCGGCTGCCATTCTGGTGAAGTGTCGGTTGGGGCACCTGGTTGATTCAGAGGCTCGCAGAGGGATACATCATACAAAGGTGACTGTACATAGTCGCCACCATAGTCATCGATCCCCTCCTTGATACAGGGGGCCCTCTGACCGGAGTATTTGGCCCGAATTTGGCCAACACTGACGAAAAAGGATCCCTTACCGGCACAACGAGTCCAATAATTGACACGGCGGTCCAGCTCGGTTTGATGAGTCCCTAGCCAAAACGAGGCAGAGGACCTCCTTTCGTTTCTGGGTCACCTGTCGCACGCATAGCCCTTTCATTATTCGTGGTTGTATCCTTTCCGTCATGTTTATGGCGTCTCATTTCACTTTTAGGCGCCCCAACCAACACAGGAGGCCTTCTGAAATTTGGGTCCCGTTTCTGTCCCTGTTCAGCCAATGGACCCCTGGCCGACCCGGGCTTTCAACTGCGTAGAATCCCATGCTAAGCAACGTGTGTCTGAAGTGTGGTGGTTAAGCTGCGCATCTGGCAAGCCAGAGGTACGGGGTTCGATTCCCTACTGTAGCATGCCTTGTTCTCAGCCGGTAAGTTAAAAGTGCCCCTGGGCGCCGGCAGTGCCCTATTCGGGCGAGGCACAGTACGGTTCGGGCTGCACCCGGCAACGGTTCGGGCTGCACCCGGGCCAGAGGAGTGCTCCCTGGAGTAATGTTCAGGTCTGCCTGGATTCACTGCCCACGCAGGGCCCTTGCAAACGTCTGCCCCGCTCGGACCCTGACCCCCACACTGCAGTAGGGCAGCCGGGTACAGTGGGCATGATGGCGGTCCACTGATATCGGCATGTGACGCGTGTGTCCGCTCCTCGGTGCAGGCGTCTGGCACAGCGTCTGGCTCGGCAAGGACAAACATCGCCCTGGCGACAACACTTGGTTTTTGTGCGCCGCCCGGACAGTCGGCAATGCCGCGGAGCCATTACATAAGCTTCTCGTCAGTGTCCGGCATTAACGATACCAGCGAGCGCGCTGCACAGTGTGTGGCTGCGCTGAGCAGACCGCGAGCACTCGGCCGCCCCAGGCGCCGTGCTGACGAGGTTGAATGTAAGCTGGCGCGGCGGGCTGCTACAGGACGCCAGCGTGTTCTAAAAAAACAGGGTAATGTTAGATACATACACAAACATACAGTGCATGCGCTACTCTGCAGTGCCCGCCCTACATACCAGGGCGAAAGACGAGCGACGCCTTATAGGCTCAGCAGCTGAATGCGTCGTAAAGCTCCAATGATGACGACGACCATAACCGACACATGGTCTCTCATTGTCTCAGGGGCTCTCGATCAATGCAAGAGGTCTTCTGGCTGCCAATGGGCCCCCGGTCACGTCCCTGCTTGAGAAATACGCCTCCATGTCAATGCGGAGCCGATTGTGTGGTATTGGTCGCCTCTAACCGACACAGAGGCCTTCATTTTCCCAGGCGCCTCCGATCGACGCAAGAGGACCTCTGACTGACCGGTGAGGGCCCCTGAACTGCCAGCCGGGGTTCCTTAATACAGACTCCGGCCAACCCTCAGGCCATTCGAGCTTTCTCATCTGGCCCCTGATCGTCAGTCCCGAGGGATCCATAGAGCCCTTTAGGCCCGAATGGAGGTGGTACGTGTTCCCTGTGGTCCTCGTCTGCGCTCGTGCTCGCACAGCGTAGCGTGTTCCGCGATGCCGTTGAAGGCCGTGACTAAGGCGTAAGATGATCACCAGGTGGCGTTTTCTAGAACAAATGTCCCGTGTTCCGAAGGGACACGGGACATTTGTTCTAGAAAACGCCACCTTTGCGGAAATCCTCACCTCATCCCTCTTTTGCCCTGGTCCCTTATATCGGCTGCCATTGTCGGGCTCTGGCGTCGAAAACTTGGTGCGAACTTCAGCGGTGTCAATTTCCCCGTGAACATTATTAAACGGCGCTCTAATGAGTCTCACAACGGACCCAGATTGGCGCAAATCTGCACTTAATCATTCGCTAAGCGTCGCCCCAGTGAGGCGGCTCGGACTCAGAGGTAGGGGTCAGAGGTAAGCGGTCTTGGGTCACAGGTAGGTGGTCTGAAATCATCCTATTTGAACACGCCTTGGTGGAAGAGAACATGCGTGTATCACCGCGGTTACAGGACGTACTTGGTTACAAGGATGACGCTAACGAGGTTACGTGCTTTCGAGTGCAAGGGTTGCTGCTGGCGGGGCTCGACCGTTAGTACCCAGACCTGCGCTCAGCGGTCGGTACCTGCAGGTGCTCTCAGGTAGCCGTATGTGGACCTGCCCCGGACCTGCCGTCGGCACTGAGGCGGCGGGGGTCGACGCTGCGGCCGGCGGCGTCGTCGCGCCGCCCACCCGTCGGCGCTGGTCGGCGCCGGCCGGTCAGTCGCCGCCGCGCGCGCTGGCGGGACGGTGCCGTGTCCGTTGGTGGCGCTGGGCGAGCGTGACACGACGGTGGTCCGCCGCGGGACCGGGACCGGGACCGCGCGGGAACGGCGGACGCCAGGTCAGGTCCGGCGAGAGCAGGAGCTGGGATCCTCCGGCGCGCGGACGCGGCGGCGGTCTCCGAGGAAGGTGGGGGCCTTGCGCGCCGAGCAGCGCCATGTGAGCGGGCGGACGGAGCTGGGGAGAGGCGCGCTCGTCCTGCGGGGGATGCGAGCGCCCAGCGCGGGCTGCTGCAGCGATGAGAGCCATCCGACTGCTGGTGATGGCGGCCGTCTCGGCACTGACGCGGGCGACGGCAGGTGAGCGGACGGCTGCCCTTCTGAGGCGAACTCGCCGTAGGAAACGGCGCCTGACAAAGCGCACTTGCACCGAACACCGCGCAGGCGGTCGTGCGCTTGTGCAATGTGTCGTTCGCAGGACGTAATTCGTCCGGCCGAGGCACTTCCGGGCATGTGTTCCTGCCAATTGACCGGCTTAAAAGCAATATTCTGACAAGAAAGAAGGACATATTTGTTAGCGCTAAGTTACTAACACGCCGTTAAGTGATAAATTCAAGTTCTTACGGTCTAATGTCTATGGGATATGGGAGTCTATATGTCTATGCCATGTGCTTTGAATGCATTCGACTGCAACTATCCGGCAAGCAATATTGACTTATACGCGATACATGGTATCGCACAGAAATTAACGTATAAATGTAATATAAGCATGGAATCAATATCAAAGACGTATCGAAAAATGGTAACCGAATAACGAAAAATGGAAAAAGGTAAAACAATGGAAAGTGTAAAGTGGGAAAAATAGAGAAGTGATAACGTTATGTGGTAAGAACGGTGAGTGGTAAAGGTGATAAGTAGTAAAAGTGGTGAGTGGTTAAAGTGTTTTTTTTTAGTAAAAATGGTAAGTGGTAACTGGAGAGGCCGAGAATAACACCTGCAAGGCTTCTGCAGCTTAGAAACCTTTTGTTTTGTTTTGTGCTTATGCTGTTTTCATACGAAGAATTTCGCTCAATATCTAGTGCAATTCAATACGAACCCACTCAATATTAGTCGATTCCTTTCGGCCAGCGATCTCAGAACGTATCACACCAATTTTGGTCAAGTCTCAACGAGGACTTGTGGTCCGAGCTCACCTTGTATTTCATCACCCCCCCCCCCCCCCTCCCGAACACTGTCAGCGGCGTACTCAGTACCGCAAAAGGGAAGACTGACTGATTTTTTGTTCGTCGAAATAAGGCATTCAGATATCCTGCATTTTTTACACCTCGATTTTGTGATTGGTTAACTTAGATATTACGTTGATATGTTACTTTTGAAAAGCGGTGCAACATGATCTTATAAATCTGGAGCTAAAAAACAACGATACCGATTACAACGTTACAACGCAGGCAGAAGCGCTCGCTCCAACCTACATTGTGACTTTCGTGGCTGCCTCTGAAAATACCTCGGTCTCAGATACACAAAACAAGAGGAAAATGGCACTCTCCCTGTCGTTAGCGCACAAATCACGACGGACAGCTGCTGCCTATTGTATCACACCTAACACCGCCCAAGTGACTTATTACATCCTGGGCAGCGTTGAACCCCTACTGGTTGGTCATAGGCACTCTATTATCAGTGAACAACCTGTTGAAAACTGTCCAGAATGCAGTCCGGCACATCGACGCCCTGACACTCGTGCCTCAGTCGTTCGTGTTGCCCGTCGTATCCGCTTCCGCATTCACCTTTTTACACTGAATGCCAGTCCGGTCTTATAGATGCTTATGACCAAACGTGCATGGATTCCAGCGCCAAATCAGCGTGCATTCATCATGTCGGCACCGTCTTTACATGATCTTCACGTCCTTGTGCTCCAATTCAGTCTAGAATGGACGTGATGACTGGTTATTGGCTACATGTGTCGCGCTACAACAAAAAAGGCATTTTGATGACACGTCGCCCTCCAGTAATATGCCCATGCGGGTCTAAAGGGCCTTGATTTGTCCAGACATATCCCCATAAGTCAAGCTTGCAATAATTTGCAGACAATGCAAGGTGCCAAAATGTTACCGGGATATGAAAAGCCGATGGTTAACCATTACGAAACTTCAGCGCTCTAAGTAGATGGGTTTTATGATGCACAAGAACTAATAGACAGAGCTGAATCAGCTGCGCATGGTTTTTGCAGTCTAATGGGTTGGACACTGGGTTAAAAGACTTGGCTACAGCAAAGTTCCTGTCAGACCAATGTCGGTTGCCGGCGTCGCTTGCCTTTGTAATGTTTATTGGCAATCAACTTATGCATTATTTGATGGCTTTCAACTGGGTAAATTATTATTACTCAACATCAATTTTACTTCGCTCCACAAATGAATGCCGGTAAGGATGCAACCCATATAGACACCCAATCAAAAGTGATCCTGGAGTTTTCAAATGCTCATAGCAGGGTGCGATGGGTCATTTTCAAGGAAGGCGTTGTCCGATGTAGGCACGGACTTGATCATTTAGTCGACTAGTTTCCTCGTCAATGGTGGTACGGCTAACGCAACGGTGCGAAACATTGTCATAACACGCCTCGCCCAAACACTTCGCAGAACTATAGCCTGATCTAGAACTAACGCAGCTGATCAACCTACAGATACATACCTATGTTGAAACCTTTTTGGTGCACCCCAGTCCGGTCCAACCGCCGCGGCACCCCAGCGCGTCACGTCCGCGTCCCACTTTCAGTTCTGGGCATTTGCGTTCTGTTCTGTTCATCCCTATTCCATACACCGTAAACAAATCCAAAGAGCATCCAGAATGTGTGATCGATGCACAAATCGTGCCGGTTGGCACTGGCTCTCCGGCGTGCTCCAGCTTCTTGGGCTTTGTTTTTGCATGAGCTCGTCAGACGCCGCGAGCCGGCGACAGCGGGCGTTTCTCGGCCCCTGCCGCGCCTCCGACCGTCTGCGCTCGCGCCGGGTGGCGTCCCCGCCGGGCGCCGCTTTTAGACCATGTGATGGTCTCCGCCTCGGCCCGGGCTGTCCCCCGGGACCTGCGTCGGACCGCGCGGCCGGCCGCAAATGAGCGGAGCTCGGGGACAGAGGCTGTTGCGGGGTCGAACGGACCGCGAGGACCGTCGGTGGTGCAGCGGTGACCGTCGGTGTCATAGCGGTTACGGTCGGTAGTGCAGCGGTGACCGTCGGTGGTGCAGCGGTGGCTGTCAGCGGCATAGCGGTTACCGTCGGTAGTGCAGCGGTGACCGTCGGTGGTGCAGCGATGACCGTCGGTGGTGTAACAGTGACCGTCGGTAGTGGCAGCGGTGACCGCCGGTGGCGCGGCGGTGACGGTCAGTGGCGAAGCAGTGACCGTCAGTAGTGTAGCGGTGACCGTCGGTGGTGCAGCGGTGACCGTCGGTGGTGCAGCGGTGACCGTCCGTAGTGCAGCGGTGGCCGTCGGTGGCGCAGCGGTGACCGTCGGTGGTGTAACGGTGACCGTTGGTAGTGCAGCGGTGACCGTCGGTGGTGCAAGCGGTCACCACCACTATACCTGCGGAGACGCCCGGTGCTGAGAGGACAGCGCTGGCCGCGCCATGGCCGTCGCTCCGCCACGTCGGAATGTTGTTGCAAGTGCTGGCTGACCCACGCCGCCCCGTCTGGGGCTCGCGGTACAGGGCCGCGGGCGCGGGCGGGTCGGCCAGGCCGTCGGCTGGGATGGGCTGCCGTTTAGTGGTGTCGGGCCGTCGGCTGGGATGAGCTGGCAAGCACGGATGAGGTGGCCGAGCAACGTGCTAAGTTTGGAGAAAGAGGGGTAGAGAAAGAGAGGGAGAGAGAGAGAGAGGAGAGAGAGAGAAAGAGGGAGAGAGCCGAGGATGAGGATGGCGTGGGATAGCTTGATGTCAGCCGTTTCGAGGCTGCAAGAGGCTGCCGTTACTACGGCAGAATGTGAATAAAGGACACGTACTTTCCGATAGCTGCGACTGCAAAATTTATGGAAGTAACACTAAACATCACACATCTTAGTCTTAGTTTGCTCAAGTGAGCAAATTAGTGAAGAGACTAGCAACGGAGGATACGGATATTTTGGAGCTAAGATACATAAAGCGCTTCCAATAATCGGCTGTAAATTGGTAAATGTATTTGGTTTGTGCTTCACACCATACGCATTTCATAGAAACATAATACTATCATGTCAAGCGATTGTACCTACACTGACTTTTGTCTACATGTACTTCTCTGTGATACTCTGAAAGACCAGCTGCGTTTTGCCCCCATTCTCCATCACTGTGGTTAGGGCCCTCGCCGCATATTTTTGTAACATGTTGACTGTCCTAAACATGAAGCTTATGTTAGTTGCATGCAGAAATGCGTCGATAAGGCATGTATTAGCTGCATGCCCAACCGCATTGATAAAGCACGTGTTAGTTAAAGTTGAATTGAGATAAATGCACTGTATAACTATTTTGTACATTCGTGTGTCTCGAATATTGTTACACTTATTCATCAGTTGATTCTACCATTATCAGTAATGTATCTGTATTTAGAGGTGTTTGGCATTCGCCGGAAAGAATATTGCATTTCTGTTCGGTTTTATTTTAGTTTAAGTATAATTGGAAAACATTCGATGCGAGCGAGAAAGACCCTCAGTTCTAGACTTTTTGGTTCTTTGAGTTCAGAGTTTGCATGCAGTTTTCAGAGTTCTTATGTTTTTGTTTCATCAGTTTCAGATTTTGATCTTGATCGGTGCAAGACACATTCTCGATGATGGCTTGTCGAATGAGGCATTTGTCGACTTTCTTTGCAGAGTTCATTTGATTTTTGTACAAAAGTTTGATGCGTTCCTTCTTTCGTTACATGAAATGTTTCGCCTCTCGTATTCCCGGTTCAAATGGTGTCGGATGTCTTCATCCACTCGTGCATTCGAACATCCGTTGATGACGAGGGCCTATTTTACTCTCTTTGCAACCTAAAACTCAGCATCTATTACAAAAGCAAAGCGATCAGCGATCTCCTCATGCGTAACAACCTGCAACAAGACCAAGAGCACCTCAGGAAAGCCGATGCAATTAACGAATTTCTTTGTCTTGAAGATTATAGGCTTCGCAACACAAGTTACATTGGCGTTACAACACCTCTATCCAAACGTTTAACCATGCACCAACGAGAAGGAGCCATTCAACAACACATGGAAAATATCACAGATAAGGTAAGCAAAAAGAATCACTGAACATATTAAGATCTTAATGACATGCCATGAACAGCATTCGTTAATTGTGTTTGAATTCCTTCACATCAGTGAAGTCGCTGCACCGCTTTATAAGCAAATAAGGTCGTGTGTCA